CCCCAAAACCCCAAAACCCCAAAACCCCAAAACCCCAAAACCCCATTTTGTTAAATAATTATTGAAATGTTTTCTAGATCTGCTATCCACAGCAAAATCCTTCATCTTAGGAAGCTGGCTAAGGCCTCAACAGGAGTAAGAGCCATGAGCACTGCTGCTTCAGAACCTAAGGTGCTAACTGAATACTTGAACAAAAATGTGTTTGAGTTTACCCTGAACAACCCGAAGACACTTAATTCCTTGGATTCAGATATGATCGAGATATTATGGCAACAAATCAGGAAGTGGGAGAACAACCAAGAGGAAACACCCAGAGTTGTTTTCATGAAAGGGGCTGGTGGCAAAGCTTTCTGCGCTGGAGGAGATATCGTTAGTATTTATAAAGGAGGACAGGAAGAACCTCGCTCAAAAGTATGTGCAGAGTTCTTCTATAAAGAATATATTGTAGACTATGCCCTCACCCAAATGGACCCAATCCAGATCTCCATCTGGAATGGTATCGTTATGGGAGGAGGTGTCGGAGTTTCATGCCACTCTCCAATTAGAATTGCCACTGAGAAATCAGTCTATGCTATGCCAGAGACTGCTATTGGATTCTTCACAGATGTAGGAGGAAGTTATTTCTTGGCAAGATTAAAGGATAATATTAGCAATGGACTTTTCCTTGGTCTGACTGGACATAGACTCAAGGCTAAAGACCTTCTCAAATGGGGTGTTGCCACCAATTATATTGAAACATCCAACCTTCCTAGCTTGTATGAAGATGTCCTGAAGCACACCAACAAGGATTCTAAATTCGAAGAAATCAAGGAAATCGTTGACAGTCATTCAGATACTACTCTCGAAGGAGAGGAGATTCCAGAAGAAACTATTAACTACTGTTTCAAGCCTAGCTCAGTCCATAATATCATTAACAGACTCACAGAAGTATCGGAGGGTAAAGTAGATGGCCTCGATTCAGGACTTGCTTCAAAGTGGCTCAAGACAATCAGAAGATATTCTCCTATCAGTTGCGGAGTAGTCACTGAACAAATTCTCAGAGGAAAAAGTATGACCTTAGACGACGTGTTCAAGATGGAATATAAAATCTCCCAAAGATTCATGGAGCACGGTGAGTTCTTCGAAGGTGTCAGAGCTCTCCTCATAGACAAAGACCAGAGCCCCAAGTGGAGACACTCTGCTATTGAAGAAGTCACACAGGAAGAAATTGATACTTTCTTCAACAGAGATGAAGAATTAGACCTTGATTTGCCAAACCTCTACAAAAATGATATTCATATGTAGTTAATCACGACAATTTCAATCAATTTTCTTGAAAATGGGGTTTTGGGGTTTTGGGGTTTTGGGGTTTTGGGG